ATATTTGCTTGAAAAAAATGAGCTGACCTACCTTGCAACAGTTTTAATACCCATTTGGTGTTTCTTTTTGTGCCCTTCGCGTTAGCACTTGACACAAGCTCATTCAAGTCTTTTTCTTCGCAAGTTGCAAAGCGGGATGAATTTTTCACGTCTTCCTCTATCTTTTCTGCCTCCAGAACTAAATATTCGTCGACAAGACTATCAGCAAGATTAAGTTCAAAGTTTGGTTCCTCTTTTGGTTCCATTGTCGATTTTTGTTAGCAAAATAAATTCGCAAAATCACAGTCCTTACGATAAACTCCTACCGGCGAGTCTTGGTTTCAAAAACATTACGTCATCCATGTGTCTGTCCTCTTATTGATCATAGCTCTCAGCCAATCAGAATGTGTTATTTACGTGAGTTGTTGTAAAAAGAAGGATGGATAGATTGTATGATGTTGCTCACTTCACAAAAGAAAATCTTAGCACAAGCATCAGCATAGTCAACTATTTCAGTACAAATTAATCTAATAGCTCTCTGGAACTTATTCATGTTATCTATATAGAAAGATTATGTTATTATATTATTATTTAGCTGGTCAGAGTAGTTGCCTTTTGTTTCATGTGGTCGAGTGGAAATGATTTTTGAAAACAAAGGAATACTTATAAAATAGGCCTCTTGCAGCACACAAACCAATAGGTTCCTAATTCCCAGAAGATTAAAATTCTTTTGTTTTGTCCTCCAAATTGAGATCCTTTGATGTCACATGCAAAGGGTCTATTGCAACCGAGTAGCTAGAATACAACAAGGTCCACACGTGACCCTACCCAAGAATCGAAACCAAGAAACAAGCGCTTGTGTCAAATGTCCCGGAAGAAAGCCAATATATTCACAAGAAGAGTTAGGCAAGCCCAGTTTTGTTAGGTGTTGACAGCGATTTCAGAGGTGATTGAGGACGATGGCGTGCATTCAATAGTAACAATTCTGTTTTGTCTGTATTAAGCTTGAGGTTGTTCAAGTCATCCATGCATCGACATCTCGTACACACGTCTCTATCCTAGATCTTGCCACATTCATTTCTTCTGCACAGTTGACTTTAAAGGTTGTGTACAGTTGAGTGTCATCAGCATAGAGATGATACTCCAAATCATGACGCCTAATGAGGTCTCCTAGAAGCGAAATGTACATAGAAAATAGTACAGGTCCAAATACACTCCCTTGTGGGACCCCAAAGGGAAGAGGTCGTACTGTTGGTTCACCATTGGGGACGTTGATTGTCAATGTTCTATCAGAGAGATAAGATTTAAACCAGTTGAGTGCTTTTCCAGCGATGCCAAACCTTGTTTTTAGACGTTCCAGCAAGATGTGGTGATCTACGGTGTCGAATGCAGCTGACAGATCTAATAGCAGAAGAATAACACATTTCTTACTATGAAGAGCTTTAAGGATATCATTATGCACTTTAATCATTGCTGTCTCTGTACTGTGATGTGCTTTATAGGCAGATTGGTAAAGATCATCCAAGTCATTGTCCAATACGTGTCGATTAGTTAGAATTGCAACCACCTTTTCAATTGCTTTACTGACAAGTTTGAGGATAGAAACTGGGCGAAAGTTATTATACTCGCGTGGGTCCAAAGATGGTTTTTTGAGACGAGACT